CAGAAGGCTTTCGATTTGCCTTACCTCACTTCAACCGCAAAGCACGGGCAATGACATCGCCGCATTTCTTAGATAGTGTTTTGATTCTGGGCATTCCTAAGCCTAAATGAACGCGATAATTGTCGGCATGGCAACGTCTTTGGAAAGCGGATTGTTGATATAGCACACAAAAGCGGACAGCGTCTCGACAGACTTTTTTTCTAAATTATCCAAGCATCGCGAGGAGAAAAACGCTGGAAGTGTAATTCTACGGTTCCTCGCACGCTGGCCTTCCTCTTATAAAAGATTTGAAGTAAAAAGTCATAATAAGGCTTTAACGAACGCGCGTTCAAGGCAAAATTTGTTTTATACTTTTTGCTTTAGAACGGTTACTACCGCAGACGCCAGCACGTGCGACGCGTGCAACTACAGTCGTAGCATGCACCTCGGTGCTTGGATAATTTAGAAAAAAGGTCTGTTGGGACGCCGTCTGCTTTTGTGTGCTATCAACAATCCGCTTTCCAAAGACGTTGCTATGCCGACAATTATCGCGTTCATTTAGGCTTAGGAGTGCCCAGAATCAAAACACTATCTAAAAAATGCGGCGATGTCATTGCCCATGCTTTGCGGTTTAAGTGAGGTAAGGCAAAACGAAAGCCGCCTGCACCGTTCGTTGCTGACTAACGCGCCCGATATTGCAACCACAACGACATATTAGTTCCAAAGCGAGCGGCGGTCACTTACTGGGACACCGCCATGTTTCCCCGCATCCCTACCGAGCCAGTCACGTGATACCAAAGTCCCTCTCCTAGGTACTGCGGCTAACTTTAGCCGCGGTTAGTGCTTCGAGCAAACGGGCGGAAAGCGCGTTACTTTGCCTTCACATCTGTCGCACGTCAAAACAAAAAACCTCGGGTAGCTCTGAACAACCGTTCTTGGATGACAGTTCTCAGAAAAGAGTCATCCTGGTCTCGCAAAAAGATAAACCGTGAAACCAGCGTTCGTATGAACAAATGCGACAAACTATAGGTCCACCCGACATCTCGGGGCTAAAAGATTACCTCGTCTGTTTTCTGTCTGTCTGAGACCTGTCTGTTTTCTGCTACTTCTGCTCTTCAAAAAAACCCCCAGTCTCAGGGTAAACGACGAAATGGTTTACCTCGTCTAGTTCTTTCCCTCGTAGACTTCTATACGTACACGGCCATCACGCGGTGCATGCGTTGCAAATGCACACGATAGCAGTGTAGTAAGTGTGACAGGTACCAAATCTTTGCAACAAAGAATAAATCGCACACCGTTGTCCATGCAAAAATAGAAAAATCCTGCATGGCTACCCCACTTCGCGGCTTTAAAACTCATCTCCTCTATTTTGTTACGCCAGAGCTCGTTGCTTTCACGGTAGTTTTTCAAAGGCACCCCCAAGTATATACCGGGCTCTGTGGACCACTGAATAGTCTCAAACACACGCGGAGTCACGTTCCAGGGGCCGTGCCAGATCCCCAAGCGTTTCTCCCAGTTCACAGCACAGGCCGTTTTGGCGCAGATTGATTTAGTGAGCTGAACAGCCGCTTGAGACGCTCCCTCTTTCGCTACAAAAATTGCAACATCATCTGCGTATGCTAACATTTTAACACCGCACGCATTTAAAGAAAACCCACGTATGTCCTCACTATTTATGACACGTAGGCAGTAGGGCTCAAGAAATAGAGCGAACAACAACGGGGAAAGTGGGCACCCTTGCCGAACAGAGGATAACACAGAAATGCACTTAGTCACTTGTTTGTTAATCACAAGGCTACTCATGCAGTTACTATACGCCATATTTGCTCCATCAAAAATAACTTTACCCACGCCAACATGACTTAGGATGCAAAAAATAACATCTTGGGACACTCGATCAAAACCCTTTTCAAGATGAACTTGCAACAGAGCAATCTTTTGCGGAAAATAGCATCGCATAGTTCCAACACGCTACGCACAACACGAATCTTACTCATAATCGTACGACCCTTGGTACCGCACGTTTGATATTCTTCCACCAGATCCCCAATCACCGATTGCATGATTCTCGCAGGGATTTTCATTGGTATCTTATAGTCAGTATTAGCTAGTGTAATCGGCCGGTAATTTGCCACATTACGGAGTTTAATAGAGTCTTCATTTACGTGGATAAGAACTGTGTGAGTAAACAAAAAACGAAGGCAGGAAAACTTCGTTTTCATAACACTCGCGACGCACTTGTAGCAAAATACAAGTTAAATATTCTTTTTATACTTTTTATAAAAGGCAGCACACAAACCATCGGGGCCCGGTGATTTTCCGCTTTGCAAATCATCAGTGGCTCTTTCTACTATGGACATGCCTATCGGATGTTCTAACCATTCTTTTATTTCTCTATTTATCGTTGGCCAGAAGGGGCAAACAATTATCTGTGAACCCAAATTCTTTTGGGGCTTTGTGACTCGGTAAGCTTTCGTAGAATTCAAGAAATCCACGCTCTGTCATGCCAGGGTCACGCGTCGTGGTATCCTGGTAATGAGTTTGTTATTTCGTTAGCACCTGCGTATTTCGTTTCTGTGGCTAACGCTCGTTTTGTTGGTGCTTCACCAGAAACGTTTCTGCCCGAGCACGTATTATGGCGCCTCTGTAGTGCTTAGCATCTGTAAGTTGTAGCTTGATATTTATTTTATTAATGTCTTCTATAAATAACCCTGGGGATTTACACTCTTCCAGAACAAGCCCCTTCAAAGTCGAGCGTAGCTGTGTTTTCCCTCTTCTTTCTCGTACCTAAAGGAGCACTGCAAAGGGACGGAGAAAATCAAAAATGCCGCTTTGAAGGGCGTGTATATCAGTGTCAAACGCGATCGTTCAGGGACGACATTGGTCTTGAGCGTCGGATGACGACGACATAGGAATCTAGAGGTAGGACTGGCTGAATAGGTGCACGTGACTCCTTCTAATTCTTTCAAGCGCGTGATTCTCACTCAAATTGTTGCTAGGGACACCCGTAAATCGGCGGAGCGTTCACGTCTTCGTAACTGGATGTTAATTTGAACAATTAGGAATGTCGCGCATGGTTGTTGCACGCTCTTGTCATTTCGGTTCTCTATTGGTCCAGACCAATGGCATCATCAACAATAGAAACTGATAAAAGATCCGAACTTCTTTCTACTATTATGTTAAAGATACATCAGATTTATTTTTTATTTTATTTTTACTGTGTTGTTAGGGTGCCACACTCTAGTTTGAGGGAACGCGATGCATTGAAAAAAATTGTCAGAAACGCTTTGCATGGCCCTTTTAAGAGTGATTGATCTTTCAACGGCGTCTATTTTAATTGCTCCCTTAAATACTTACCATTCTCCGCTCATGTCACTCCCGTATATGTTCCCCAAGTTTTCAATCCGTGCATTTATCTTGTCGTTAAACAACTCGTCGTCAAGGAGCTTGTAGTTCATTTTCCAGTTGTGCCACCTAAATCGTTGTGGGTATTTTCTTTTTGATCCTAACCCGAAAGTCACCAGGGAGTGGTCGCTAAAGCACACCTGTTTGACACTATAATGCTCTCACAGCGGGATAAGCTCAACTGACATGAATAATCTGTCTAGCCGTGCGTGGCTGCTTTCTTGGAAATTGGTGAGCTGCACGCCCTTCGTGCACTTTCCGCAATGTGCCACGTCCTACATGTAATGCTCCTTCAGTAGTTCATACCAGACATCGCCACTGCTATCCCTCTGGCGACCATGAGGGGTCTTGTCTTCTTGAGCACATGTACTGTTAAAATCCCCCACCACCTCAAGCAGTCGTTCGCACTTTAAATATTCCGCTATACTTCCCAGAAATTGGCATCGCTCCGCCTCTAGGGTCGGTGCGTAAATACAGATTATACGAAACTTTTGTTTTGACAAGCGAATATCAAAATACACGACTCTTTCATCTTCACGCGAAGCAACATTCTCAACAATAACACGTACAGAATTTTAAAAAATGCATACACTTGCCGATCTCCCAACCGCATGGCGTAGGCATGCATCGTATCGCGACCTAAATTGGCGCACCGTCTGCTCGGTCTGCTCCTTACTTTCAATCTTGGTGTCCCGGACCGTTACCACGTCGATGTTGTTTTCCAAGAACAACCGTCTGAGCTGGCACTGCCTTCGCCTTGCAGACAGTCCTCTTATGTTCAGTGTAGCTATACGCAGTGCGACCTCGAACTGTTTCACGGTTTCAAAAACATTAGGAGCTTATGACCTTGCGTCAACAACCAGACACTCGCCACTGAGGTAGGTAGCGGGGGAACCAGTTTACTGTGACAGCGGTTTTCACGAGCCCTGGAAGACGAGCGGCTGCGTGTCGTATAGCGTCATTTTTTTTTTTCCGGCGAGCTTCCACTGATATGCCAGGCGTCGCAGTGCCAGCTCGCTGGTGGCAGTACTGCTTGCACCCGGTCCTCCAGTCGCCGCTTCGAAGTCATGGTGTCCAGGGTCATTTCCGCGCTGGGGCTGTTGTCCGGCGCCACTTCCTCTTCCTTACACGTGGACGACTTCTCCGCTGTCTGTATGCTGTAGCTGCATCCGAACCTGTTGAGTGTTAGAAATGAGGCACCTTAGTCTTCTATAATCACTGACAAGGTGGGAACGGCAGGGAGGAGCTTCTCTTGCCCCGCCTCCAGGGCGAGCTTCGACAACGTTTCGGCGTGTCGTGCACCTCGAGCCTCGCGCGCGCCGCCAAACCACGGCGGAAGCCATGGAACGCGTGTGGAGTCCGGGCGTTCCAAAAACACGCCCTGCCATTCTCATTCTGGCGACGTGCGTCCACGATTGACCAAATGCTCAATATGTCGTCTTAAGTAGATGGACAGTACTTTCAATACTGAAAACAAGAGGATTGTCAGGCTGTCAACTTTGACGGCGTCGGTTTAAGGTCGCGATGATTACAAGCTTCCACCGTGCTTTTTTAGCGCATCATCGAAATTGCGGCTGGCAATCGATTGTCATCTCGTCCTTTTGCTTTGCCCGCAGACGTCCTTGGGCAAGGCGCACCGCTTCAGCGTACTCATCGAAGAACTGTCCCACCCAGAGGTGCTCCCGTACGCGGCCACGGTGCTGGCCTTCATCAACTGCGTCATCGTGAGCACCGACCACTTCCACGAGCGCCTGAGACTGCGCAACGAGCTGCTCGGTGGGTAGTTCTTGCGTCCCTCTATACTCCTTTTCACGATAATTTGGCCAACTGTGGAGGCTACGGCTTCCGCAAACCAAGTAGCGCGTCGGAGAATCACGTGATAACATTCCATGGTCGAGGTCACCGAGACCGGAGGGATCGGTGGCCGAGTGGGCCAGCGAGCAGCACCAGCTCGGAGCACGGGGAGCGAAAGCTCGCGCTGCAGAAACCAGGGGTCCTGGGTTCCATCCCCACCCCTGCCCGTTTTGATCTGGATGAGCATCGTACCGGCGCGCACTCGTGTATCACTACAGCGTGATGCACGTTAGAAACCCCAGGCTAGCGGTTGTACTGCAGCGGCTAAGTTTCTCATCTACAACTGAGAGACAAGTCGCTCGTTGAGGCAGAGTTAGTTCAAGCTATGTAAACATACCCACAACCGATTTTGCTTTCAACGAGGCCTTGTTACTGCGACAGCAACAACGCCATCCTCAGAAAAAAAAAAAAAAGATTTAGCGGCATATGATTTTGCGCGTTTCCTCCTATATCGAGAATGTATAAAAAATAAAAGATTAATATGGACGAATTTATGTGTTTAGATTCTATTTAAACCAAAAAAGTTACGCCACATCCGTATCCGCTCCCATTATTTTTCACTGTGTAGCGCCGTGGCCATTTTCGATCGAAGCCATGTAATCGACCGCTTCCGCTAAAAACATGACCCTGGCATTAGCATCCGCCACAAATTTGGTGGTAAATTGAGCGTATGGTTGTCTTATGAACTGGTTCCGAAGAGCTCGCTACTCTAGTGGACGGCAATGTTGCGGCTGTGGACGTTCATCCGTAGTTGGTTGGTTTCGCAGCAGACGACTCTTAGCCAGCAGACGACTGCCGGTTCCTTGGTGCAGTGACACACACGTTACCGCGGCGTGTTGTCACGTACCTTGCTCCGACGCTCTTATTGGGTTGCGGGGGCCGTAGCCTCCACAGTCCGCCAAGTTTTCGGGAAACGGAGTATAGTCCTCGAACAACTGGGGTGTGTCTATGTTTATACAGCCTGAACTTAGTCTGCCTCAACGGGCGACTTGTTTCCCAGCTGTAGATGAGAAATTTAGCCAGTGCAGTACAACCGCTAGCCTGGGGTCTTCAACGTGCATCACGCAGTAGTGATACACAATCGCACACCGGTACGATGCTCATCCAGATCGAAACGGGCAGGGGTGGGGATTGAACCCAGGACTCCTGGGTTCTGCAGCGTGAGCTTTCGCTCCACGTGCTCCGACCTGGTGTGCGCTAGTGCCACCAGTGCAACGATTTTCAGACTTTGGCCAATTAACTGCGGAAATTAATCTGCGTCACCTATGGAACGAAAAACCGAAAGCCGCATTTTCTTGCGAGCGCTAGTTCTTATTAAAAAAAAAAAAAATTAAACAAATCGAAGGTCGACATTTTCTTGCGAGCGCTAGTTCTTATTAAAAAAAAAAAATTAAACAAATCGAAGGTCAAAGTGCCTCTCAACTCTCCACGCCGACTTTCGAGTGACGTCTCTGGGGGTTCACGCGGTTTTTCCTCGGGCCCTCTCTTCAGAGACCCCAGCCGCTTCCTCCGCGATTGTCGACTTTCAAAGGATTAGCCTCGTCGAAGGTCGCGGCGAGCGATGCACACAAAGGACAGTTCGCCACGGGGCTGAGGGCGAGTGTAGCAGCGGAGGGGGACAGGGTTTGTTGATTTCCGCGTATCGCCCAGAGACGCCGTCATTTTAGTTCGCATAGCCGCCACCGGCGGCTGCAGATCGGCAAATAATTAGTTTTTTGCCTAGCGATTACGCAGCAGAATAGCCGTTTTTTGGGGAAAAGTGACGCGTTTTTGGTCACTTGGGCTTGTATGAACAATATAAAAAATGCAAACTGGCAATTCTTTCAACAATAAAACCGTTGCACTGCCCCTTTAAATAAGCTACGCTTCAGAGTAACGACACTCAGCCATATTGTGTCTTAAAACCATGGTTTCCAGTCATCTGAAGCTTTATCTGAAATCACAGGAAACGCTTTTCCGCCCTCCGCAAATGTTTAAGCAGTTCGCAAGAGAGCAAAGCAATAATACACTGAGTAAGTCGCACTTTTTAATCATGACAATCGGCACTTGAGTCTGCTCCGCATACGCGCCAAAATGGCGGTGCCCACATCAGTATCGGGGGACGGAGTGCCGATAATCTAAGCGCTGCTCATTTAGTGGCTCCAAAGACCCTCTATCTTGGGAAAAGTGGCACCATTCATTGTTATGGAAATGCTCGAGACACGTGCCACGCGCTACTTCTGGGAAGAACATCGCGTCTGAAATCTAGCTCAGTGCTGCGCTCTGCCGCCATGATCTTCCCAAGGGCTGCGCGTTGCACGTGCCTTGTACATCGACGTACCTTGCGCTACTTTCGAAACCTGAAGGGGCTTTGAGTGGCTCTAGTGTGCGCTAGCCCACTCGGCCACCGACCGAGCGAGGACGGCAGGCTGCCTTTATCCAGTGTCCAACTTCCAGCACGCGCTCGTTGCCTTACGTCGGGCTCTGTCTGCGCGTGCGTGCTCGGCGCTCACGAGACGCCGAAGTGTTATAGGGAGTATTCACTGGCGGCCATAGCTGTGTGCGCGAATGCTGAGCTCGTGCTGACGGCGAGCTTCGACAGTTTTTTTGCAACGTGCATTCCGCACCATCAAGAGTGCCGGTCCTAGCAGCCTATTGATGTGAGCTCGTTCTGAGCATGCGCTCTAAGCAGCACCCACAAATATGGCGTCCAGTGAATACTACCTATAGTAGAGTTCCTGTATTCACGGCGAGAAGTTTGAGTATCGCCGCCGCCTGGTAGAATTTTTTTACGACCCAGAGTGAGGATATTTCAACTTCCTCTGCTGGCGCAAGCACGTCCAATGCCAAGCTTTTATGCCCACTAAAAATTAAGACATAATGCGACCTTGCGAGCTTGTCATCGCGAATAGGCTCCCTACGGGAGCCGAAGTGGCGCATCCAGCCATAGCCTATCCAGCCATCTCGAAATCCGAAGTTAAGCCGGAAAGCCACTCCTCGTGCGTGCAGGAGCCGTGCTCCGTTGATTGTGGCTGGTCACGTGTCACGTGCCTGTATTCGGCGAAAAGCGGCGCCGTGCGCGCCACCGCACATGAGAAGAGGAGGAGAAGGAGTCAAGAGCGGAGGAGCATACACCGCGTGGTTCAGTGTCGGCTAAGCGACTTTCCTGCACGGCGCGGCATTTTTTGCTCCTCACGTGATCGATCTCGGCGAGTAGCGGCGCGGTGGTACGTGGAAAACTGACGCGCAACTCTTGCTCCCGTAAGGGATCCATACAGGAACTCTAGGTGGCGGAACAGCTGAAGGACCTCACTGCCCTTCAATCCTGTCACGGAAAAAAGACAACGCCTGCGTCTTTCCTTCTCCAACGTCGTCACTTATGGACGCACTGAAGAGCCTACAGGTCTAAGAAGTTGTAGAACTGGAACCTTGGAGAGCACTTGCAATATAATGGTGGGCGATTGTCTCGCCGATAGATTGCAGGTGTGCGGTGACGTAGCCAGGAACATTTTTCGGGGAAGGGGAGGCTGGGATCTGTATGGGAAGTGTTGGGAGGTGGCGAATGTGCTGCATTTTGAGGGAAGCTTCAGCCCCATAAGCCCCCCCCCCCCCCTCTCTCCCCTTTGGCTACGCTACGGCATCTGCGCAAGCCCGATGCGGAGTGGCGAGGGAGGTAGTGGGGGGCGGAGAGGCGGTGCGAAGCCTGGAGACGCTCAACGCTCTAGCCCTCCTACTCGCATCTGGCTCGTCGTAACTTCCATGCAATGCGGAGCGCACGTTCCGTCTGCTTCTTGCACACGGGTTGCGATAATGTCAGAACGCCGAGCTCTTATTGGCTGATTGAAAAGAAATAGTAGATAGACCTCAAGGGCATCTAGCGATGAGGTCTGTCCCTATCCTTTCAATCAAAGCCAATCAGAGCTCGGCGTCGTTCTGACTTAACCGTAGCCCCCGCGCAAGAAACAGACGACTTGCTGTCCGGATAAACATTTATTAGTACGTTCCTCGATCCTCGCATCTTCTTTTGCAAACACGGCCCTATAAATCACGTTACCCAGGCCAAGTTGCTGAAAGCGGTCTCAAATCTTAACAGAACAGGACCTACGATCCCACGCAGCGTCGCGTACGCGCGAAGTTCGTGGCTCGTAAAGCCCTGGTCACACTGCTCATACGTCATACAAAAGACAGTGTGCAGACACGAGTCACCGCAATATACGTTGTCCGAAGCGTCGGCTTGTTGGCACCTTGGGTTGGGTCGGGGGTCTACTCATGATGACCTAAGGCCTTGTCTCTTATGGTTATTGAGATGATGAGAACGGCGGAGACTCTCGGACTTTTGGTACATTGTAAGTTGCCGAAGCCTGTCAATCCCTGCTCAACGTGACGGCACGAACTTCCTCTAGCAACGCAAATAGCGCAAGGTCTCAAGCAACACTCGTGTGTAATTTCTGCTCCGCGCCGGCCTTTTACAGCTGACGTAGAAAACTTCAGTGCAAGGCTTCCAGTGATGTTACATAAGCGGTTGTTGTGGTGACTTTGCTGATGAGCGCGTACCTTTCGGAGCATACTCTTCTCACCATCGATTTAGTTCTTCTCGGCAAGAACAATCTGATGACGTCACGTGCAAGCCATAGATCTAGCGGCTGGTGGTTTCAGGCCACTGAGGTCCTCCTATGACATCTCCGGGAAAGGAAATGGGATCTGGTCAACCATCTAGCGTGCCTTCTTTCCTTCTCCAGGTCTGGGCCTGTTGGAGCTGGTGTCCCCGCTTCGCGATGCCGGCGACGACGAGCTGTTCATCCAGTGCCACGTGTTCGAGACGACCAGGCAGGCCGACGACGAGCACGCACGCAGCCTGGGACTGGCCGCCACGGGTCATGCAGAGGTCTTCGCCGCCCTCCTCGACAAGGTGCCGACGCGCATTAGACCGCGCTTTGCAGCCCTGTGTGTTAAACCAATACCACACGTCACTGACAGGGTTAGAACGGCAGTTAAGTACCTCAGTTGTCCCCCCCTCTAGCGCTAGCTTTCTCCCTTCGATAATGCTAGGGCGTCTCGTGAGCCTCTAGTGTGCACGCGCAAGCAAAGCACGGCGGAAGGCACCGAGCCCGTGCTGGAGGCGGGCCATCAAACTCCCTGCCGTTCTCATCGTGTCATTGTCTAAAGGAGACAAGGCCTGCGCTCGACGTCATCACTATACTCGTGAACAACTTTCTGTTGCATTTTACGAGTGAGACCGTCGTGAGCTTTGATCGGCGCTCAAGGTGCTCAAGTGCCCGTGCACGCTTGACCGCATAGATACAAAGTTCTCTATGGGTATAGTGGATCCCCGACCTACCCGAAGTAGCAAACACGCTGAAGCCTTTTTTGGCTCACAAATATATGTCTATTTGCCTAAGCCTTCCAAGTATAAGACCAGTGTGACTCAGAAAGAAATACCTTACAGCTATTTGGCTCATTAAAGCAAGGCACTTACTATGGTGACGATATTACCATGGTCCTCACAAGGCCACGGTCCTTGAAAGGGCCCGGTCTAGACGAACTGTCTCGCCGCGTTGGAGGAGTCTTTTACGTAGCTCTTCTGATTCTTGAGCTAGCTGTCAAAAGGTTCACTGAAAGACGCTCGGATTACCCAGCACCTTGGGGCCTGGCGGCCTTTTCGAGGGACAGCTGTGTCTTCTGCTACAGCGGAGCCGCCATCTTGCCTCCCACTCTATGCACCGTTTATGAGCTGTTTACAAAATTATTGAGCGTTTCTACTTGTGAAATAAAGGCGTGGTAACTTTAAGAACACGCAGTGTTGCCCGTTCCGTCAATCGTTTGATTGCGGCGTTGGTCAAGAGGCCGGAGGCCGAAGTAAAAATGGTGGCCACAGTGAGAAGCAGCAGCACTTGTCCTCCCAAAGGATGTCGCCACCGCCGCCACTCCAGCAAAACGCAGCAAGCAAGCAACATTGAGGCACTCCAGTTTTTGTCTTCTCTTTTTCGTCTCCTAGAAGCCAACTCGTACTATGGAACACTGCTTTCTGCTGCCTTACAGCCTTTCTCTGACTCGGAGTATGTAGGTTCTTAACACCGTAGCTTCGTCAGTGTCTTGGTCTCGTTGTCCAGACCCGGCGACGGTAGCGATGTGGGTTGAGCACGCGCTGGGCCAAAACCAACTGCGTGGCGCGAAGACGAGGAAAGCCAGGACAAGCGATTGTGGTCCGGCCTCGGAACGATCCCTGAGCGCCGCATTCGTGCCGGTGGCAGGGCGCGGCCGAGGACGCCACCGGGACACGTTCTTCTGCAAGGTACACTGTGCAGTGTCATTGAGGTGGCAAGACCACCGACGGGGGACATCTGGAAGAGAGCTTCCTGTTGTTGGGAGGTCTCGCATTACGGCCCTCATTGCGCGTCCGTTGACTGAAAACCCAAGTAAAGGAGTAGAAAGAAGCCAGTGTGCTCTTTCTAGTAATTCTTTTCGACTTGTTTTCCTGACGCTTTGAGTGTCCTGAGGGCGTACCAACTAGCCTATCTATTAATCTTACTATCATCTTGGTCCGCAGGTGTACGGCCGACCGGAGTCCGTCTCCTTCCTGAGATTACTTCACAACCTCGACCAGCTCGATCCCGATGACGTGACCAGGTTCGTCCCTATAGATTCCCGGATCACTGTTGATAGTGAAAGATCTCGACACGACGATAGAATGAACGAGAATCAAATAGAGTCAAAGCATATCGCACCTCAGACTCTGACACTGTTAGTGCCGTCTTGATGTCTTTGAGAATCTGCCCTTGGAGGTACCACGCAACATCTCTGCTCCCCCCCCCCCCCCCCCGCCATGTGTCCACTTAGCGTCCACTGGCCCGCGCTTGCACCAACGTCGTGTCTCGGGTTTCTGCGTTCCCTGCAGTCGCTTGGCCTGGGATTTGTTGGAGCGGTTGTCCGAACAACTGGCGCGGGGTCCCGTGCTGCCCCTGTACCATGACGTGGTGGACCGGCTGAGTGGCGATATGGAGAGGCGGCACACCGAAGACAGCGCGGGAGACGATGCCGAACGACCCGCTCCCAGGGTCAAGCTTAACATCTTCAAGCTCATTGGACAGGTTTGTCTCTTTCAACGGGGCTTCCCAGCACACAGATTAAACTTATAGGGGACAAAATAGAAAAAAAATCTTAAGGGTGCAGGCGACCTGGTGAATATTAACCATGTTGAATTAACCTGAGACTGGGGTAGAGAAGAAACGTCAAAACGTAGAAGGGACAGAAAATAGACAGGACGACGTCTCAAGCTCGGCTAACTCGTTTATTTAGTCCACCTCTTTATATAGTCTCTATCTCAAGGTCATATCCACCAACACAAAAGGACGAAGTCTATACAGTTCAGCTATACAGATTGTGGCGCTTGAACTGTATAGACTTCGTCCTTTTGTTTTGGTGGAGATGACCTTGGGGATAGAGACTATATAAGGAGGTGGACTAAAGAAACAAGTTAGCTGAGTTTGAGACGTCGTCCTGTCTATTTCCTATACCTTCTACGTTTTGATGTTTCTTCTCTACCCCAGTTTCAGGGTAATTCAACATGGTTAATAGGGGACATTCACCGGACGCCATATTTGAGTATACGCCGTTCTCAGCGCATGCTCAGGACTAGCGTACACTTAGATTCTGATAAGACCGGTAATCTTGATGGTGTGGAACGCTCGTTGCATAAGCAGTGTGGAAGCTTGCCGTCAGCGACCATTGACTCAGCTATGACCACCAGTCAATATCCCTTACAGTAAGGAAGCTTGCTTGTATGCGCAAACGAAGACAAAAACTAAGAAGGTGACACGGACGAGTGCTTATTCGTGGCCCTTCGTCTTTCTTAGCGCGTGCAGGTTCTATCATTATCACGCAACAACTAGCCCAACAACAGCCTTGTTAAACTTCGCAGAAAGCGGAGAACACTTCTTGACTATATGTTTAACCTACAGTGTTCTAGAGGGTGTAGTTGCAAGAGCGGCGCCCGCTTACAATGAAGCGCGTGAAGACGGTCGACGTAGATACCGTGAGTGGCGCTGGAGTTCTGTGCCCTAGGAGAATTAATGGCACGTGTGCGATGAACTAAGAAGACGACGAGGGTGACGCGGTACGCTTCTCCAAAATGTAGCACCGTAGAACTTCTTTCGCAGCTATTAAGCCTGCAGCCCAAGTGATAGCGTTGCTGAACGATGTGTCAGTACTGGGGGGGGGGGGGAGGGGGGGGGGGAGAGTCGATATTAATTAAATAATCTCCCTCAAAACACGCGAATATTTCAAGTAGACGATAGCACACACTCTAGAGGCATTAGTCCAAAGGCAGAACTACAATTTACTATACTTCGTTTCACCTTATGTTGTACCGCAGCGAACGCTAGAAGCGCGAGCTCATAGCGTTGGCAGCTGCTCTTAATTCACCACAGCTTGTGCCGCCGAGATGTGCCCCAGAGCAAGGAGCTCGCGCTTGTAGCCTTTCCTAAAAAGTCAAAGAGTCAAATTTGGGGGTTTTACGTGCCAAACCTACGACGGGCATCTGGCACGCCCTAGCGGAGGACTGAGGATTAATTTCGACCACCTGGGGATCTTTTGACGTGCAACCGAAAGCTCGGTTACACGGCGCCTTCTCCGCAATAAGCCTCCGTCATATTGCGGGCACCTCGGTCGGGATTCGAACCCGCCACCTGGGGATCCGTAGGCCGGCGCTCTCGCCTCGGAGCCACCGAGGCGGCTTGTAGCCTTTCATGCGGTACATCATAAGGTGAAACAGAGTATACAGAACAACATTAGCAGTTGTTTCGCACCGCGAAAAGCTCCAGTCAAACCACAGTAGTAAGCGCCCACCAGCGCTGATGATGGGGCTGACGGGGGCGCGCTCCTAGGGCACAGAACAGCAGCGCCATGGTGTCGTCTACGCGCAAAATCTTCACAAAGCGGCCGCCACTCTTGCCACTACAACCCCCTCTAGAACACTGTAGTGTAACCTAACCACCCGCTTCCGCATGTAGGAAGTATTCACTGGCGGCCATAGCTCTGTGCACGACTGCTAAGCGCGTGCTGATGCCGAGCTTCCACAGTTCTTTTGTAACGTGCATTTCGCACCTTCAAAATTGCCGGTCTTAGCAGCCTATTGATGTGCGCTCGTTCAGAGCGTGCGCTCTAGACATCACCCACAAATATGGTGCCCAGTGAATACTCCTTATTGGCATGAACTTGTCGCTCACACTTCCAACTACATTTTAGAGATGGCGGCTGTCACGTGTGCCCTTAGAGTAGCGCTGTAAATTACCACGCGTGGTAATTTACAGCGTTACACTAAGGGCACACGTGGGAAGTGTACATAGTACCCTAATTAATGCCGCTTTCGAGTATTAGATAATTTCCACACCGGTAATTTAATTTCAGAAGCTGCTATTGTGACTTCCATTTTGAAAGTATATTAATTTATAGTTCGCGCCTCCTATAAATTACTTTATAGGAGGCACAAAATCCTGGCCAGTTAAAGTTGGACGAAGTCGTGTCCTGTGTCCATTTCACCTAGAAAACAAGGCCTGCGCTTGACGTCATTGTTTGTGTATCCCCGACCCGCCCCAAGCGGCAAACACGCTGAAGCTCGGCCAGAATCGCCGTCTGTTCGCCGCGTGTTAGCGTCGCGCAAGTTGTGAGACGCTGCAAGACACGGCGATGCTGACGCATGTTGGGCGGCGCTGCGTAAATTCATTCACATTGACATTTTTTTTTTTAGAGTGTGTGTGTGTGTGGGGGGGGGGGGCGCAGGCCTTGCTTTGTTGGTAGTATTGGTGGGCAGCCTTTAAAAATTAATAAATGTTAAAAAAAAAGGACGGTGAAAGTTTTAACGTAGGCACCTTAAACATTGTCTTAAGTTTTCTTTAGATTTCATTGGTAGGAGCGTCGTAGTCGCCTATTGAAATTTTGATGGAACCCCGCTCCTCGCGACGCGCCGAGCGCAGGACAGCGCGAGAGCAGAGAGAAAAATTTATAGCACAAGTGACGTCATTGCAGGGTTAGATGACCCTCCCTCGCCACTAAGCTGTCTCGGGATGCCGACGATGGTGGCACGACGCTTTGGACAGAAAACAAGCTGCAGAGAGGCTCGCCACATTCCGTGATGCAATCGCTGCACGCGTTTGGAAAATAAATGCGGTTTACGTTTACTTTTGCCCAAGTTAAGTGCCATAATTGAATTCAAGGGACAAAAAGCTATACAAGTCCGCTGCTCACTCGGATTCCTTGAAAAGGGCTTCAGTTTCCCTTTAAGCCGTCGCGTGACCGAGCGGACGTGTACGCCCGCAGGTGTCCGGGCTGTCCAGAACGCGCTCCTTCCGCGTGGGCAAGTCGGCGTTCAGGGAGCCCAAGTCTCAGCCCACATCCCCGGCCGGCCATCGGCGCCGTGCCTCGGAGCAGGCCGACTGCCAGCCGCAACGCTCCCCGAACTCGACCAGCGTGACTCGGCAGTCCACGGGACGGGACGCGGCCAGCCGTTCGGCACCCAGGTCCACCCAGCTGACGCGGTCCTCCGCGCTCAGGGCGCAGCAAGACGCCGTGCTGCAGGGCTCGCTGCACGACGGACTCGAGGCGCCTGCAAAATCCTCCCCCACGACACAAGGTGGGGACTAGTTGAGGTGTTGGACGTTTGGTTCCTTGGATGATCGGACACGTTGGATGTTTCGACCATGAGCGATCGGCTGAGTGTGTGTGACCTGGAGAGACAGGGCCAAACGAGGGAGTATCCCTGTGGTAGTTCTTTGTTCTTTAGCTCACATGGTAGTGTCATTCTAAAGTAATATCTTGATGAGAAAACCCTCCACGGACCTATCTTGCTCGTGTTGGCCTCACCGTATGACGTCTCAATGTCAAGTGACGTCATGGAGCGCCATAGTTTTTCATAACGCCACGGTGTCACGGGGTCACACGACGCCATGGTGAATGTGACGTCATGGTGCCACATGGCGCCATAGTATAGTGGGACGCCACAGTATCCTGTTATACCGGGATACTTTTTTTCCTTGACCACGTCTTTGAGAATACTCTTTGCTATGCTGTACGCCGTCTCAGTTCATTCCGCCTTGTCACAAACGTTGCTTACTGTGGAAGTCTTGAACCATGCGCATTAGGCTGGGGTCACGCTGCTTATACATCATACAAAGGACAGTCTGCCTACAGATTCGAACTCGAGTTGCAGCGAGACCCGTGCTTCGAATGCCACATGGCAATGAGTTCAAGTAGAAACTTGGCACGCGGCATTGGGACCACGGACGCTGCGATGACTCGTGTCTGCATTTGTATGATGTATGAGCAGTGTGGCCGGGAATTTACGAACCACGAACTTCGTGCTTTCGATTTTTTCGGACGTGTTTGTGGCCAACAATGAGCCGTCTCTTTTCGCCGACAGAGATTCGGCGCAGGAGAGCCTCCTGCGATGTGACTGAGAGTGCTTGCCAGACTCGAGCTTTTGTGCCGTCCTCTCCAACGCTAACCAAGGGTCTGGGCCTGCCGAGTGCAGTGGCACCCGCCACCGGCCCTCCGCCTCCTCCTCCTCCTCCACCACCTCCGCCGCCACCTCCGCCACCTCCCCCTCCCCCTCCTCCGCCCCCACCTCCACCCATGCCCAGCTCCCACGGCGACTGCGCGACGGTGCAAGAGGTGGTCACGAAGACGGAGGCCCCCACGTTGGCGGCGACGCCCTTCCACACGCTGCCTAAGCCCCGCCAGAAGATGAAGACGCTCAACTGGACCAAGGTGCCCGACACCCTAGTCTGCGGTGAGTGCGGTCGCTGTGTCTACTGCTATGGTCGCCCTGACTTAAAGGGATGCTGAACCGAAATCTGGATTCCCCAAAACACGCGGCAAAAGCGTGCAACGGGATGCTACAAACACCAAAACATCACTCATACAGCGATAGCTCGAACGGATGACCGTATTTTTCAAAAAAGAGGCGCATTTGGCAGAAATGTTGACGTCATGTTTCACCGAGAAGGAGAGGGAACGGCCTCGCGTCTTCTCCGCCTCGCGGCCTTGAGGGAGCGAAGCGAAAAGAGGAGGAAACTAGGTATCTTGACGGTCACGCGCCTCGTCGGCCTGGTTCAATCTCGACTTCTTTTTGCAAAAATACGGCCGTCCATTTGAGGCATCGCCTTACTAGTAGAGTTGTAGGGATTGTAGCGTCCCGCCTACATCTCCAGCATAGTTTTTTTTTTTAAATCCAAATTTCGGTTCACCATTCCTTTAAAGGGATGGTGAACCCGTGGTCTGAAGGATGTCCGCCTACCAGCTTATCGCCAGCGCCAGAATAACAGTAAGGCTTTATGCATATTCAAGTGTACTTTTATATTTATTTTTTGACACAAGCTAGAGTTTTCGAAATTCAGACGCTGTTTCGACGCTGTAAATGTCGACGCTTAGCTAATAATGTCTCAGATATGGTGCAGAAATTAACCCTCCCGCGTAGACCGCCAGTATGAAGAGTTATGTTCGCCGTTCGTGTTTTTTCTCTTTAAATAGGTTTCGGATAAATGCGCTTTTTGGCGATATACGATTTACGATTTGTTCGCCGCGTCTTTAGACATCTGACTGACGACCGCTGGGAGGGTATCCACCGCCTCGCTACCCCGTGTGCTTTGATGGGCGCTTTGACAAACACCGTGATACGTTACCGCCATAATACATTGGTGTCGTCCCGATAAGCTAGTGGAGTCCACCCGAAGCATACCCTCGTAAATTTGACCGCGTATTGGGTTAGCCGCCCGCGAGGCGACCTAGTGCTTGACGCGGCATCGGGCCTCCAGGCGGCAAGAGCATCTGGAGCGACGTGACCAAGGAGGCGCAGCAGGAGCACGTGGAGAGCAAGCTCAACTACAAGCAGGTCGAGGAGCTCTTCTGCCAGAAGGTGGCGGACAAGCAGGGGGCCGACTCGGCCAAGAAGAAGCGGGAGCCCGCCCTGGTAGGTGCCTTCGTTTGCTTCTTGCAGCGCGCGCCACCAGCTTTTAAAGTAATAGCTTTATACGGAAGCCCTGCACGGATCTTGGTTTTTTGTGTTGGTGTTGGTACCTTATCAAGACCATAAGAAAGATGTCAACAGCGGAGCGGAGATGTATGCTTGACGGTCATAGCGCGCGCGACCATTAGTGTTGCGGTGCGCGAAAGAGGGAGGTAAGCGATCCGTTAAACCCCCCCCCCCCCCCCTCTTTTTTTTCTTTTGCGTGAAAACAGAGGTTGCGTAATAGGTTAGAAACTGCGCATCGTACCTTCGTTGCATTTTACGGAATGTCTAAGCCGGTGTTTTTTGTTTTGTTTCGCAGCTGTCCCTGTTGGACGGCAAGCGGAGCCTCAACGTCTGCATCTTCCTCAAGCAGTTCAAGTCCGGGCCCGAAGAGATCGTCGCCATGATCCGAGCCTGCAAGTCCAAGGAGATCGGCGCTGAGCGACTGCGCATGCTTCACAAGGTTCTGCCTGAACCAGACGAGGTGCGCATCCGAGTGGCGCTGAGCCGGTGACGTGGGCTCATCACGCGCCTCGGCAAACAACGCGGCAGCCTCGTGTCTGGAAGCCTCTACCCTCCCCCTTAAAAATAATAACGTCTGCGTGTTAGCTTTGCAGCAGAATTAGAAACAAGGAATCACGGTGAACAATTAATGGCTCCCAGCGAATAAGGAAGCAAGTAATTTAGTTAGATCTGAAAAATGCGATGTGCGCAGAGACAACAAAAAGTGAAACGTCATGCCCATTACCTGTGGGCACTACATTTTTTGGTCGAATCGTATCCTCATCATTCGCTGAACAAACTTGTATCGTTCGTCGCAATTCGTTGTCTCGTGTTCTGAATACAAGCGAACATTTCTTTTAGAGAGTGCGTTGCTCTTTTTTTCAGGGTCGCGCTCTCTAGTCATGCAGACCAGGTGTGCCGGGTAGCTTACTTAGCGACATGTTCTAATTTACTTTTGTCACTGACATAATGACGACGGCGTGCGTCTTTTTGTATGCCCCGCCTTCATTCCGCGTTTTCCGCCTTTCGTCGTGCGTTGACTGCGCGTGCACGCTTGAAGCTTACGAGACAACGAAGTGATTTCGAAGGTATACGCTGCTAGCGCTGGAAACGAAACATCCTAAAGGCTCTCCCTCTCATCCCGTTCGGGTTGTCTGATAATAATTTACTGGTCTTCTGAGGCTTGCTCTGTAGACCCTATATCGAAATTTCTCCTAGTTGGAGGCTGCTGGGCTGAATTAGAACCCCGTATAGGTACGAAAGCCGAGGCAAAGGTTTTCTACGACGTGTGCAAGCGAGGTCGGTGATTTTCACAGCTGGGCATGCTGCGCTCATACACGGGCGAACGGAGCAAGCTGGGCGTGGCTGAACAGTTCTTTCTGCTGCTGGGCGAGCTGAAGGGCTACGCTCTGTACGTGGATGGCCTACTTCAGATGGAAGAGTTTGGGCCGAACGTGGACGCGCTGCGGCCGCAGCTGGACAACTACATCGGCGTCTGCAAGGAGATCCTTTCCAACAGAAACCTCAAGGAATTCCTCAAACTCATCCTCATCACGGGAAACTTCATCAACTCGGTGAGTAGGGGGCGCGGGTGTGGGAAGCGGACACGAAGCTTGTTCGTGAGGGGGGTGCATCGTTGCAGGGCAGTTACGCCGGTAACGCCCTGGGCTTCAGGCTGAGCACGCTGCCACAGCTCCTCGAGACGCGCTCCAACAAGCCCCGCATGACGTTACTCCACTACCTGGTCGAGATCGCCGAGCAGGAGCAGGCGCACATGCTCGAGTTCACCGACGACCTCCGGCACCTGGCGCAGTGCTCCAGGTAAGTCTAAACTGTGAACAAGAGCCGGAAAGGACGGCAGTATAGAAAGCTCCCGGTGCACACAGGATGTCCCTGGAAGGCATGAGGTCCGAGCTCAAGCAGCTCTCCACCGGGATCGAAAAGTTGGAGCGGCAGCTGACGCATGGTGATGCCGACTTCCGACGGCACTTCGGTAGCTTCGTTCAGGTGAGTAGCTGACGTGTTTTCCCGCGCGGTAGCGTGGGGTATGGTGCCTGGAGCGCGTTTTCGTCTGGTGTGGTTAGCTTCTGATCCCGCCCGTACATCAGAAGTGTCCTCGAAGTGGCAACAAATGTCGACGCCACAGGAACTGGCCTGACATGTTGTCGGATGTCGCGATCTTGGCGGTTGGTGCGGAAGTCCCGTTGAAAGTGCGAGCGAAAGCGAGTGTCGCTGTCGTCACGGGGTCCCAACTCCGGACTGTTGAAGCTTCGACAGACTTTCAAACTGGAGAACGACCTACAGCAGAACAGGCGTTTGCCACACCCACCGCCGCGGTTGGGACACCGCTAGGATCGCGACCGGCGACATCATGGACACTTCTACAACGCCACATGGCGGAAATCGATAGACCACTTTTCACGACGCGGTAAAAGAACCCGTAGGAGACGCGTTCCAGGCACCATAGCGTTGGTTGACCGGCGTGTTCTCGTGCGCAGAGGGCCCAGGGCCAGCTGCGGGAGCTGTCGGCGAGCCTCGACCAGATCGGCCAGCTCTCCTCGCGGCTAGCGGAGCACTTCTGCGAAGACGAGAACCGGTTTTCGGTCGAGGAGTGCCTCCACATCTTCAACAACTTTTGCGAGAAGGTCAAGCTGGCGCAGAAGGTGACTGCTCCAAGTGCTGTCAGGCCGTCGGGACAAAATAGAGCCATTTGGTTAATAAGTTGCCGCCTCTTCACAATACTGAATGAAAGTGACGCGGCAATAATAGCAAAAAAAATATTGGACACTATTTAAAACATAGATCTCGTAAACGTTCTTAAACGGCAAAAGAAACGTGCAGTATATCGAACGAATTGTACAAACGAAATGGGAACAAATCACCGAAAGAGATGGCGCTAGCCACCCCTCTTCATTCTAAGGCCAAGGCAGCTTGGCCGTATCGACAAACTTCGTGGTATGTAGAATGCAAACTGGGTCCACCAACGCACGTCAGAGTTCTGAAGACGTGTTTTCGGAAGAGGTTATGAGGGACACCGCACGAATGCTGGTTTGTGTACGAGTCACACGTCAGTCGCAACGTGCGAACGTGACGTTTTAACGTGAAGCTTTCGCGCGTTGGTGTGTAGCAAGCCCAAGGACGTACTCATGTTGAAAGGAAATGGCTGAGTTGAATAATGAGAGCATTTTCAAGTCATTGACGGGATGACAGTGGCAGGACTTGCCTTTGCAACGCCCGACCTCCAGCATGCACTCGTTGACTTCCGTCGTACTTTGGCTGCGCGTGCACGCTCGAAGTTCGCGAGGTGCCGCAGTCTCACAGCAGGTAAGAAGCTCGCGCTGGAGGCGGGACAACTGAAAGACCCTCCTGCCGTTTTCATGCTCTCAGTGACTTGAAACTTATAAAAAATGGTTCCTTACCAGTTGGGGCCAACTACAGTGCTCATGCGTAAGACGCGCGCTTTGCACGCTCTGCGAAGCGACAAACTCGCACGTGTTGGGCAGCTGGGCTATGGATTCAGGACACGCTATTTGTAGCGGGGGCTCGCGCTGCCACTTCGATGCATGCTCTGAAGCGCGCGCCCGTAGCGGTAGCGGCTCTTTGAAAGCGATCTACTAAACCCCCTAATAGGGACTTTTAGTAAATCGTAGACCTCCGCTTTGCTAGCGGGGGCGCCCGCTGGGCCCGCTTTCCGCTGAGCGTTATCGGTGTACGTGAAGTTGCCATAACTGTAGCTATGGCCGTAGTTATGCCCGTGGAAGAGACAAGTCGTGTCGTCTAGTGCTCCGCTCGCACAGACGCACAGACCCACAGCGGGATTGTCGCCCGTGCAATATAGCGGTGAGATTAGGGAACCTCGATTCGCGTCTGTTTCAGGGTGAAGACAACCTTTGTAGTAGCTTGTGCCGACGGCAAGTGCTAATTCTGACATATAAGTAAACGGTGGGAACCAAAGTGGCGCCAAAGCACTAGTAAGAGCTAGGTGCTTACGCCGAGGAATGCAACTGCGCGTGCCGGCGCGTGCATTCTACGAAAACTTAAAAAAAATTTTGGGGATCAAAATGGCCGAGATGTCATCAACTCTAACAACGTACGTGAGTCTGTGTGCATGAAGGCACTCTAGGGCCGTGTTTCAGAATTTACTCGATCTTACTCCAGGGTAAGGGTTTTGTACCCTTGGCGTTCTAAAACCTACCCGCGTCCAGCGTTTTTTAATCTGTACTGTCACGTGTTATGATCCGCCGGAGTAACTCGGATCCATTTGGGTAAGATTTGGAACACAGCCTAGGCGAGATGTATGGGTGGCGCCCTCCTATGGTTCCCTCTAATGGCGACATTACCTGGCGAACAACAAGTTCGATGGTGTTTGTAATTAGCTTGGTGGAAGCTTGAAATCATTGCATTCTCAAAGCAACAGTGCCGACACCGTCCAAATTCAAGTTCTCACATTCCTTTTATTTCCGTGCGGTGAGAAATCCTTTGCTGACGTCATAGTCACAATTCGACCAATCGTGGCAGGCTGACCACCGCGACGCCTTCGATCGTGCATGTCGCCAATAGACGATTGCAAGCACGGCATCGTGGCCGCCGCCATGACTCTGCGCGTGCAGGCAAGTACATGCAATTACAAGCTTGCCAAAGCTATATACGTTCATGCGCACGCTGCACATGCTTGCACGCATGGGGCACCATTCAGGTGGCATGCTTGCTAGTAGGAAGTTTTCTTAGACCGTGTTTTCCCCTTTGCTAAGCTCTCCGCAACAAAGAAGCCGCTGGTGCGCCTGCGCGCCGACGGCCTTGGCTTTAGAGTTCCGGTTATCATAGCGGTTTGCGGTGAGCGTGGCGCGACGGCGAAAACTCCCTAATGTCTATAGATACGGTGTGTGTGGTAGCGCTTTTTTTTTAATGCCTCGTTTTGATCTGTTGCCGAACTGTGTCTTAGAACGCATCGCTGGCACTCCGTGTTTCAGGAGAACGAGGAGAGAAGAAGAAACGAGGAACGCGCCGAGCGTCTCAAGTCGACGCGCACGGCCGGCAAGACCGGTGAGAACCTCCGCTCTTTCTGCTCTCATGTGGACAACCATCGTGAGGGTAGACAATGACGCCCCGCACCTACGGGCGATTAGTCATTTCGCTGCCCGCGTACTTGATGAGCTTTCTTCGGGCATTTCGCCAACGTCGGCCTCCAGCTTTGTCGGTCCAAGCCACGTGAGTGTAACGTTCAGAAGAAGCTAGACGATTCTCAGCTTCAGCAACCACCAGGTGGAGCGTCCAACTCTTCGGCCAAGGAATTCGCGGAAGCCGCGAGTCAACGGCCAAACTGCGCACTTTCCCGATTGAGCCACATAAGATGTTCCGCTAGCATCATTGCCCAAAATAAGCGGGGCTTATGACTTCGACAGTATCCGCCGCGCGTAAGGGACGCCTCCTCCTCGCTCAACGCTGGCTGGCGCCTTCAGAAGATGAGGGAGAGGAAGGGTTCAGAGCGCCGATTAAACGGGTGAGGGGGTGTAGACGCGAACGTTGGCTGCCTTTGTCTCATCCAATCGGAGCGAACAAGAGCGTCGTCTGGTCTTCGCGCAGTGTCTCGCATTCGGAGTTGGGCCAATTTCGGCACTCTTGACTGTAGCGTTTTTATGGACGTCACATCGCCTGGTTTACCGGGAGCGAGGGTGACGGTGTGTATCTCTGTGTGTGTGTGTGTGAGGGGGGGGGGCGGGGGGGGAGGGGGGAAGGCTTAGGTGAACGAATCCCCTAGTCGTTTTAGAGCGCGTCAAGATCAGTATACCACATCTGAGATATGGAGCACGCGATCCGATCGGAATCGCTCCGCCTCCGGATCCCCAGTGGAACATGCATGACCACTCCTCCGGGATCGGCGGATGCCTTCCCTTCGCTCACCTTCCCGGGAATCCTCTTCCCGCGATCCCGGATCACCAAGCACATGTTTTCGCAGTCGCGGCGCGAGCAACACGTGTCCAACGCACGAGCGAAGTTAATCATGATGTGAAAGACGCGTGTTCATAAGCGATGTGCATTAGCGTAGCCCGCTCTTCCCTTCATTGGAATACTCGTGAACGGTGTCCAAGTACGTCTTGATCTTCGGCCTCTTCTGCGGAGGTCCAAAAAGACAGTCGAATTCATGCGGGGACATACGAGTAATCCTCTCGTCGCTGCTACTCGAGCCACTGCTGTTGGAGGAGCTGGTCGAGGAACTTGACGACAAACTGTCATCAAGCAGCTGCGCTGTAAAGCGGGTGGCACTTCGCGAGCGGTCATTTTGAATTCTTCCGAGGCGAAGTGCCCGGCGAGAACGGAAGTCACGTGTGCGCGCCAAGGAGGAGCCAGGCCGGCTTCCGGTCGAATCCGCCGAAATTAGCGGAGCGACTTTTCTCGGATCCGGATTGAGATCTGGATTAGGAGCTAACCTAAAAGGATGGTGGAACACGTCCGTCTCGATCCCGATCATCGCCCAGCCAAATAGGCGCGCTCCAGAAAAGTCGATCCAGGCGCGCTCCAAAACAACCAGTCGCCATCAGTGATTCACGCTCTAGCCTGTATCGGGCTCCCTGATTTGCTTATCGGACAAGCGTGAGCAAATCGGTGCGACGGCTACAGGCTAGCGGGTGAATCCCTGAGGCGTGTTTAAGCTAAACCTCGCCCGCCGTCTTCTTTCTCCCTGTAATCCGGACGACGTAACATCTGTGGAAACGCGCCAATCAGCGTGCATAAATTGACCTGTTGACTTCCTTCATAATATTTTCCGAATCGGCTGCCTGGTGCAGAGCACGGTCCAGAGCGAGCCGTTACCTTTTTTCTGGTGTTGCATCGCGGCTTACTTGTCTCTTGAAAGAAAGGTGAACCGCTTTGCTGGGCGTCTCCTTGAAGGTGGTCCCTCGGCAGAGCCTAAAGCGCAGCAGTCATTCCAGCTTCTGATGCAGCTTCTGCAGCGAAACGTATGGCTTCCTTTATCCGGTGCACGCACGGCACCGCCTGCTGCATGGCATCCTCCGTACTTGCGCATGCAACACCGCACAGCACAGCACTACCCTGCACGCTGCAGACTCGCTTGAGCACTGCCGGGTAGACACTTTTGGGTTTCTCCCTAGTCTAGAGCGAGCTGAGCAATCACATCGTGCGAGGACCTTAGACACCTATACTCCGCTTCACTTTACGCCCGACCGCAGCACACGGTACGAGCCACCTCAGCAGGTCCTGCTCTGAAAACGTAGCACGTGATGCGTTCTCTGCCCGTCATGCGCCTCCTCTCCAAGGTCACGTAACATTCAGGCGGCCTTGAATTGGCTCAGATTGTCCGTAGCATCCGCTGCGGTCGGTCATAAGGTGACGCGGAGTATAGCGCATGTCGCAATCGGAGGCTGAGAGGAAGCCACATGTCCAAAGCAACTCTGCGCCGCTTGGGGTTGGCGAGGCGGGGCTCGGCATGCCGGCTGCACTGAACCGACGAGCGTTCTTTGGCGCGCCCGTTCTGGGTTGACTGTTTTGCTCGAGTGTTTTGGGGGATCTCCTCTCTGAGGCCGTGCTAGGTGTGTCCAATACCACCTAAAGGCGTTTGCTTGTACGCCCTCTGGGCCGCCGCCATTGCTGCTTGTGCGGGTAGATCGTCTGATAGTCAAACATTGCTGTGGGGTACCCACAGCCTCGGCAATTCTTGACTATCAGACCATCTACCCACACCAGCAGCAAGATGGCGACGCCAAGAGGCCGTTCTTGCATACGTCTATACGGCATGCAAGTTCGTATGCTCCTTTAGCATTTCTTGCGTTTGTTTACCCCACCCCCCCCCCCCCAAAAAAAAAAAAAAAGAGAAGAAAATAAAAAAACTGCACACACGTGCGGTTGTTTTCCTCTAACCTCAACCAATGGTGGTGCTTGACTGTCTCGTCATCGCGCGAACACCCACGCGTTCTCTACGTTGCCTTTTGATTGACGTGCTATTCTTTGCGTTCCGATGCACCAGAGACGTATTTTACGAGACTTGCTCGCTGTATAGTCGCTGGCAGGCTGAGAGCGTCAGGGAGGAGTCTCGGTAGTCCCGCCTCCAGTTCGAGCTTCCTGCCTGCTCTAACGGTTCGGTTTCTCGTCGGTCTCGAGCTCCAGCGCGTAGCCAAAGCACGGCGGAAGGCAGTAAGCGCGTGCTTGAGGCGTGAAAAGAGGTGCCGTTTTCTCCTTGTCAGCGACTACAGAAGACAAGACCTGCGCGTTACCTCTTCGCTAGTAGAACTTTGGCCCGCCTCAAGTGGCGAACACGCCGAACGACAGCTAGAGTAGGTGGCAACGTAGCAAACGCGTGAGTATAGGCCTGTTGCACTCGGTCAGAGAGCGCGAGCGCGTCCATATATGATGCGACCAGGTAACGTTAGCTTCGGCGTCTGCAAGACGCGACCTTAAAGACGGAATTGTATTATGGCGCCTTTAACGCGTCTCCGACTGGTGTGTATAGCGTCCTATTTTTCCCATACATCAAAAGTGGTCCCCAAACAGCAACAAGTGACGTTCCTAGTAGCACACTTAGTTCTGAAAATGTCCTTAGGATGTTCTAACGTGTCCTGTGGGCACTTATAAGAAATACCCAGAACGTTAGGACACCCTAAGGACATGCTAAGGACATTAACAGAACTAAGTGTGCTACTAGGGGCCACAAAAGCTGGAGTATGCTGTCGGATGTCGCGATCCTGGCGGTTGGTCGTAGAAGTGCTGGTGAAAAGCACGAGCGAACGCGAGTGTCGCTGTTGTCACGGCGTCCCAACCTCTGGCTACCGAAGCTTCCGTTGACTGTCGCACTGGAGAGGGACCTGCGGCAGAACGGGCGTCTGTCACGTCCACCGCCGATGCTGGAACACCGCCAGGATCGCGACCGGCGACAGCGTGACACTTGTATGACGTCACCAGGCGGAAATCGAAGGACAACTTTCATCGACGCGGTAAAAAGACCAGTCGGAGACGCGGATCCATGCAGGTGACGCTGCATGGATCCTCAAGTGACGACGTAGGAGGGGGAAAAGTGCAGGCGTTGTATTTTATAGGTCGCTGACAGGGTAAGAACGCCAGGGGAGTCTTCCTAGAATGCCCGCTTGCAGAACATGCTTGTTGCCTGGCGTCTGTTTTGGCTGCTTGTGCAGGCTCGAAGCTCACGAGGCTCCGAAGCGTTATCAAAGGTAGCAAGCTCCGGCTGGGAGCGGGACAACTGAAAATCCTCCCTGTCGTTCTTGTCCTCTCGGTGATTGGAGGTGCTATTGGTGTATTGGGTCTACTGCCGCGCGTCAGGGTGATGTCCGATGTAACCGCCTCGGTAGCCCCGAGTCAGGACGCCGGCCTTCGGATCCCCGGTTGCGAGTTCGAATCCCTGCTGAGGTCGCAACCCGACAGAAGCTGACTGCGGAGAAGGCACCGTTTAACCTAGACTTTGGTTGCACGTCTCGAAATCCCCAAAATGGCGGAAATTAGTCCCCAGTCCTCCGCTGGGGAGTGCCAGATGCCCTTCGCTCGTTTGGCACGTTAACACCCCTCTCCCCCCCTCTCCCAATTATGACTTTGATCGCTGTGTGCAGGACACCCGAAGAAGTCGGCTTCCCCCGTTGTAGAAGAGGTGTGCGTCGTGGACAGACTGCTGGCCGAGATTCGGCAGGGAAGCTTCAAGCTCCGCAAGACCCTGGCCTGAAGGCGTCTTCTCATCCATGATACTCCTTCCAAATCCCTTCACTATTTGTTTTATTGTTTCATATAGGTTCGCCGAATATATTTCCTTTATCACATCAACCATTTGCTTCTTCACGTGTCGGTCTTGTTCGTCTTGTCTCGAATCTTTATACCGGGTGTTTCAACAAAGATCGTAAGAAATTCCTACCAATAAAGTGGTTGAGAGAAAAAAGAAAATATTTTTTCGGGAACAAACTGCCAGCCAGCGCTCTACACGAGCTCCGGGTATTCCTCAAATTGACTGATTTTAAAGTTTCTTGATGACGCGCTCAGCAAGTTTCTAATTGGAACCATATGTTAATTTTTTTCCTTTCAACAATTTAATTAGAAATTTTATTTCATTTCTTAGAGGTTTAGTACCTTTATCTGCAATCTCCAAAGTCCGTCGTGACTGGCAGTTTTTTTTTTTTTTTCACCCCGGAAATAGTTTATTTTTGCTCAACCACCCTATTATTAGGCGATTGTTTTTTTTCTTTTTAGTCTTCGCTGAAGCAGTTGGTACATTTTACCTCGTAATTGTGCTCCATGTCTGGGAATCGTTTATGCTCCGTTTAACGCCAAGTCCGAACGCAGTCGACACAACGATTTGATCGAGGCAGTCAAGCAGTGGAAAAAGCGCTTTGTCACCCCGCTCGTTGTTCTTACGGGTTTACAAATTCCAACTAAACCGTCGCGCACACAGACAGACACACAAAAAAGCGCAGGATAACGCACATTTACTGTTCGTGATTGGATTAGCCACCGATGATTGGAAACGCAAAACTTCGACGAGTGTCGTGAGGATGCATTTTTGCTGCTGCTTGATTAACTGTCAGATAATGTAGCGTCGATCACGCTCGTTCTGAAACGGAGTGTAGTACCATTTTTTTCGTTTTATCCTGCCATTTTAACGGTCGCCGCGAAATTTTGATCTAGCAAAGAGCTTTTTTCGCAAATGTTTGGCCTCATAAAATTACTTCAATGAATAATAAACGTTTTTTGTGCCATTAAAAAAAACAAAACGAAAAAACTCGGGGTCTCTTATGTTATTTTTAACACGACTTGAAGGCGAAAGTCCAAGCGCCGATGCATTAAAGACACACAGATTTACTCGCTGAGCCATCCCTCTTAATGTGGTAAGTCCTTCTTAATGGGCTGAGTCATCCTTATTAATGTGCCGAGTCATCCTTATTAATGCGCCGAGTCATCCTTATTAATGTGCCGAGTCATCCTTATTAATGTGCCGAGTCACAATCTTAATTCGCTTAGTCATCCACTGAGTGGTCACGTAAACGTTTTGGTACCTTTGGTGTCGCCGACGTTTTTTCGCTCAGTCTTTGAAGGACAACTGAACGATGAAACATACAAGGCTTTTGCCTTATTAATACGCGTTATAAGCGTCTTCCATTGATAATATTTGGTAGTGCCTTTTATTTAGATTTTCTCTGCGACTATGAATTTTTCCGAAGCAGTTAAAACGCCCGCTATCATCGGTAGAACGTATAACGAGGCAGAGTGAATCCAACCTGCATTATATAAATCGCAGAGATAATAGACCGATCTCACTAAGCGTTAGGCGCATGCGTAAAGCCGCCATAACTTTAGTTCACAGGAGGCAGACGGCCGTGCACGCGAAGGCTTGTGCCTTCTCGTGCTCTACAAGCGAAGAGCTCCAGCGAGGTTGTCGCACGTGCAAAAAGACTAAAGTTCCCTCGGTGCTTTGCGGCAGCGGTGGCGTAGTCAAACTGGCTGGTGAGATCAGTATATTAGATACTTCATGTTAGGAATATATTTCTTGTCTGAAAATATTAGAAGCTAATCTGCCGGAATCGAATCACAAATAACCATAAATCAAAATCGAGTCTTTTCTCTCGATTGAAATGAATGTGGGTCTTCGTCATAGTAAAAACACGGCTTAAACACATTCAACAGCATGCACTTTTTTTTTTCGGGGTTATAAGAAGTATTTAATTTTCAGAAAAGTATATTAGAGGCCGCACTATGATGACATGCATAGATCGAACTGACGTCCCATCAGAAGCCATTGCGGTGACTTTACTGTTGTGCGTGTATCCTCAACATCATAAATTTCACGCAAGTGTTTTCTTTTTCTTTTTAAAAGAATAAGTATGAATACTTTAGACTGACCTCCAGCCAACGTTACTAGCTTAGGTCAGTTGTGAAATTCCCGAGGAGGACGGATCCCCCTCACTCACTTCCGTCCGCCTCCCGATGCTTAAAGCGCAATCTAGACCGTCGTTACAAAGCTGTGCGTTGCTTAGAGTACGGTGAAACGCTACCTTTACACCCTTTCAATATTTACAAGTCCTCAGCCCAGCGTGCTATCTCAGCCCAACTTGCGCATGTTCGCCACTTCAGCTATAGCCCCCTCTATACTGACAAAGCCTGTCAGATCGCCACGAGACGCGGCCGCCGAAAGTGAAAAAGGTAAAGAGGCAGACAACGGCTGAAAGGAGAGCCACGTGACGAGCGCCACGCTACGGCGATACGCCCAAAACACACTTCTCCCGAGGGATGGAATGCCCGCTCGTCCTCCTCGCGTTCCTCGTGCTACCGCCTCGTCGGGTTCGAAAAATATGTTTGGGGTCCTCGCCGCTGCAGAGCTGTGCCCTGACGACCAGGTTCCCCGAGAAATGCCCTGTGTAACCAGACCCTCGCACTCCAATCTGCGACCGGGCACTCTATGGCTCCGTCCTCGAACTGCCAGGCTTTGTGAGGGCTTTGTGAGTAGAGAAAAGGCTATACTTCAGCGAGCAAATCACGCACCATACACACGAACACTGAAAATAAAACCTGCCAGGAGCGCTTTTTTTTTTAAACCTCTGCCCGCGCTTTTGGCTTTAAGATATGCATTTTTATACTCCGTTCACCCTTAAAGGGCTTCTGACACGCCGAAAAAAATCAAAGTGCCTGCCAGTGCCCTGTGACGTCACTATGTACCGCAAGGTGTCGGGGAGGTCAGAAGGGAGATATCGACCTATGTCACTAAAAGTAGGTTCGCCGGAAGTCACATGAGTTTCACTCCTCGTGCTCTCCACGATCGCGCCTAAGACTACTTCTTTTTTTTTTTTTTTTTTGTTATTCTGGTTATTTGTTCATCCAGGAGCATCGTAGAAAACGAAGTTTTAGTTCCACTAGTTTTTTATCGCTGCACCGTTGGTTAGTTTGCATGCTGTAAAAGTTGAGGACGAAGAGTCAGTGGATCGACTTGATGGAGGCCAATGATGAAAGCGTTGCGAGTACAAGCCAATGTAAGAGCACATGCCATCAGTCCGATGGTACAGGGCCATACTGGGCACAATACGAGCTATTGAGTCTTGAAGAAAATATTTTAGAACGCTCGCAGAAATTAGGATTGTTCGCGTACGACTCGCCCGTTCAGGCACCGAGGTCGTCGAATCATCGGATACTCTCCAGGCTGAAGATGCCTGCCGCCTAGAGAATACGAACTGGCGAGTGTACCAAGTACAAGTAAACGTCGAGCATAAAGTACGTGTTTTGCCTAGGACATTAGTAGAACTTGTTTTCTAGGTGCACTGACTCCTCTTCTTCTACCTCTACAGCAACATTAGGCGATGAAAAGCAAATAAAAGAAACCTTGTCTGCTTGGAATGCTCGCGGAGATGCGGAGAATACCAAAAATATTAAAAAAAAAATATTACACGCGGTCGCGGTAAGCACGAGGAGTGATACAACTCACGTGATTTCGGGTGATGCCTCCCTTCTGACCACCCACATCTTGCGGTACACTGTTACGTCACAGGGCACTGGCGGGTACTTTGAATTGGGCTTTGTATTTCTAGTTTTAATAAAAAAACTACGCAACACCAAAGTGAAATAATTTTTTGGTGATGCCCCGATACACCATTTTAACGTCTAGCATGGAAAAAAAAATTTAAGCTCCTCTTTCAGCGCGAGCTCGCTGGCTTCCGCAGTACTTTGGCTTCGCGGGCCTGCGAGTTAACACTTGTGTTAGAAAGGGTAGAAAGCTCGCGCTGGAAGGTGGAGCTTCTAGTCTAGAGCGAGCGCTCGTTCTGCGGAAGAACGCTTCAAAGCAGCGACCTCGAGCTCTTGTGATTCTGGCATAAGTGGCGTACGCTTAAAGGGGTCATGAAGCGACTTTCCCACTTCTTCCTCCTTAGCTTTAATCCTCAACTCAAGGGCGAATTCAAAAATCACGTCGTCGTGACATGCCTGAGTACCGGTGCGATGATTCCAAGTTTCCAGCGTGTTTCTTAGGCACACCATAGAACTTGTCATTCGCAAGTGACGATAAGCTCCTTTGGGGCACTAATTGGCCACCAACGCGAATCCAAATATTTGTCGACGGATTGTTTGTTGACGAACACATACGTCCGAGTGACGCAATGCTCGTATCCAGTGCGTGGACAGGGTTCGGCTGACGTCATTAATGCGATAGCATTAACTGTCTCATGGAGCGAGCAAAGAGCGAATTGGGGTATGGGAATATTTATACAGCGTGTAGTTGGTCAGCCATTTAAAGTTGCGACGAGTCACTCGCTGTAGATGAGCAATTTAGCCAGTGCAGTAGAACCGCTAGCCTGGGTCTTTAACGTGCACCACGCAGTAGTGCTCATGGAGCGAAAGAGCTAAACGGCTCTTTTACACCGCTTCGATCCCATTGGCTAGCAGCGCGTCCACAGCCAACGGCACCTTTTACATCGCTGCGAACCCATTGGCTAGCCCGCGACGACCAGGCACCCATTCGCCGGACACGCAGCGCCATGGGGGAGGGGGGGGGGGACGTTTAAACTGACGCTGCGCGCCAGTTTCAACTACCGGCGACCTCATGGCGCAGCGTGTCCGTCAGCGCCAGTTAGCACGCCAACAGCGAAAGTCGGAAGCCTGTCTCGTCTGTTTGTCTTCATGTCCCTCTTATCGTAAATTAGAGACCAACACGCTCATTTATCTACAGCAAGATTGATGTACATGCTTTCGCATCCACAACTCTTAAGAAGTGCTTAAGTGCACCTCAATATTTTTTTTTTTTTTTGCCACCGTTGACGTGCTTTAGGTACCGCAGACGTATTATAGTGAAAACA